AGCTACTCGGTAAACTGACACGTCATATGTCTTATGAAACTATAATCTAAATACTATTATCCCTTCTTGTAGTAGTAGAGAAGACTGGCGACTCAAATGAATGTTTTTGGTGTTGATGTATTCTCTTAACTGGATAGTTTACTAGTGAAGATTTCATAATCTTTATAGACAACATGTCTGACGCTAACTTTAGTGTGAATTGTCCTTCGGGAATTGTACGTGAGTAAAAATTTGTCTATCTTGGTGATTTGCTTTGTCAGTGGTTGTGTTTTCCCTTTGACTCTATTCACTAGCATCAATATTGGATCTCTCATTGACCCGATCGATATTTGACCCTTTGCACGTGTGAATTATTTGTGACTGACTGACTGATTGATAAATTCTATCCATATTCGCTTGTCTGTTAATTGAAAAATTGAACTGAGCATTCCTCTTTCAGGAATTCTCTGAAGATCTTTGTGTTTTCAGGTATTGGTTTTGTAGGGATTTAGTTCAATGTCAGCTCATGATGAAGTCCTCCATCCAATCTTTGTGTTTCCCCGTCTAAAGGTTTTAAATCTTCCGATTTAGAATGTAGTATTATTAATCATTTAAAAGTTCTTCAGAATACTTCCATTTAAGATGGAATTTTAACCTTTTATTATTCCTGTGAACATTCCATTTCTAATAAATTTGAGGTAATATTTTGTAATCATGAAAAGTGTCAGTGAAACCTTAGATGTGTTGATGAAAGCTGGTCAGTCATCCAGTGGCTATTTTTAAAATTGTCACTGGATGTCGATTTGTGTGAAACACAGCTTTCCCTGAGCGGCTCTTACAAAGACAAAAAACCACATGTGTGGCATAGCAGGTCAACCAGAATCAGTGCAGTTCAGGATTTGGCCAGCAACCGACACCAATTAATGAACCATTGAAATCCAGGGAGAACGTGACAGCTGTCTCTTCCGCACTTCTGACAGCTGATGGCACCTATTTTGAATCACTAAGACCTCCATAAAGCAACACCTGAAAATTATTCCACTAGTGGATGTATTTTCCAGAGTTTTATGGAGAAAATGCACCCAGTGGTTTCTACGAAGTCGGTGTGGTGGTGGATAATCTTTACTTACGTTCAGTGATTGTAGCACAAGATCGCCAGCTGAAAGGGTTTAAGTTCACTGGTAATTGAAACCCTACCCAGAGTCTGGATGTTTATGTCCTAGCTGTGTAATAGGCAGGTTCTGGTTTGAACCTTAGGTAGGATCAAGTGTACCTACTGAAGAAGATGGTTTTTTCATTTTCAATGACTCTGTAATTTATATCAGTTCCTGACGAAATCTCTATCGAAACCTATCACAGTAATATCATAAGACGAATAGTAATAAATAAATGAAGATATAACGGTGTATATGAGGATAAATAGAGTATGAGGCTCTCGAGAAACTACACTAATTAAGTAGTTTTACTCTTTAGTCGATGTGTGATTTTGTCGTTTAACCTGTTAGTCCAGTGATTTGGGGTTTAGTATAAATTAATTGAGTATAATTTATTTTATGTGATTAACTGCAGAAATCCGTAATCTAAGGTAACTTCTTGGCACACTTCAAATGTCCCTATCAAATAGTCATTGCCTAGACTTCATAATATTTTCGATAGATTTTATGAGAATAGCTGTGATGTATTTATTACATGCGACTGTTAGTTACGTCAATAAAGGCAGTTAGCAAAAGATAGGGTAGAAAATATGAAAACAGAAATTCACAGTTCAACAGATATACTTTTAAATCTAGATTTTAATGCATGAAATTCACTGTAAACTCGTGTTTATAAAAGATGAGACATGATGTTGCATAATGCGAGAAATGCATTTTACTAGTGAAACTTTTTTGACTTAGCTCTTAGTGTCTACCCTATTTTTAGTTATGCTAAATTTTTCTCATCCTTGAAGATATGAGTAACCACACTTATCTGCGGCTATATAATAATAATAAATCACTTCAAAACCCAACCGGAGACACCTGGCAATGCTAAATCGGTGACATCTGCATTTCAGTTGAATAACTTTGGTTTTTCGCAAAAGTCTTGACAGAAGAAGGACAACATTAGTTATGGACTTTTCAGCACTGACTATACCCATTTGTTAAGAATCTTCATAAAAATCAGTGTCAAAAGAAATTAAATGTTAAAAGAATTCAGTTTTGCACAACAGAGAGAAAAGTGAAGTGAATGTACTGATCACAACATAAATACGAGAGAATTTAGACCATCTACAGTTTTACTTTGCCAAAAAAGGGATATCAAAAACCCTACTTAGGTGTCTCGATAAAGTGGGAGTAGGTTTCATATTCAAACCTAAAAACTCACTCACCGAAAGAAATTTGTAACCTAAAGGATCTTGTTAATCCAATTAAACAAAATAATTTAATTTATGAAATATTTTGCAATAACATTGACGTGTCATATCCATAGGTCAGGACATAAGTTTAACTAAGTGTAAAATGACCGACCGCATGAAGATGAATAGCTTGAAGATAAACTCACTAGTCGGAATACATGCACTGACAAACAACCCTACAACACAGTGGGGTGGTAAAGTTACAGTTCTAAAACGTAATATCGATACGTTGGGGGGGAGGGGAGAGGTTTATCACTGAATCTTAGTTCACTGAATCTATGCTGAATACTTGATATAAGAATGATGCACCACCAACAACTTGGATATCAAAAACACTACTAACGATAAAATGGAAGAATGAGAGATAATACAATTATATGGGTGAAATCTAAAGGACTTTATGTGATCACCTTGATATGACTGTGGTCAAAACTCCATTAGGAGATAATGCCGTAACTCTGTCCTCTTTTTGTCAAACAAAATTATTCTACCACGTAACTATACTCTGTCAAAGTGCTTAGTGCATGCCATCATTATTATAAGCTTGTATTCGTGTTAAGTTGAGTTTCTTACCCCGTAAATATTGATCGCACCGAAGGGTGGTGAGTAAATTCATTTATTCTAAGTAGAACCTTAACGAACTTGACACGATCCGGCATAGTAATACAAATCCTTTCACGTGTATTTGTAACGTGACTGATGAATGATGAAAAGTCCACTGTCTTAACATAAGCGTTTTTTTTTCAAAAGTAAGTGACTTTTACGTCAATTGGTAGTTATGCAATTACAACTAATGCTAAGATACAATGAAGTAACAATCTAAGAAATTTCAAACTTATGTCGTAATAATAATTAACTTATTTCATACTGTACGATATCTGAAAGGGTGACACTAACTGTTAGTTGTAGTAACGTTTCTTGCCAATATGTATATAATGATCTGTTTCCATAAACAAATGGTCTACAGTTTCCGATTGATTTTTCTTCAATGAACAAATCTATGTGGACAAATTAGTTATATTTGTATTCTTTTGAACACATCAGCGATTACAAGCAAGTGAATATCAATAAAGTGATCGCAAGAGACGAAAATCTGCCTTAGTGTGGATTTTCGTATCAGCATGAACTAGGTTTGCACAATAGTGAGCCTCGAAATAGATATATGAGTACTAGGAGTACTGCACTATTTATATTTATCTAATAAGAGAACTTAAATTGCTTATCTTGGCTGTAAATGTTTAACTTTAAGCTTTACCATGCCTTATGTATTTGAGCTCACGAGGTTGATTCATGGTCCATCTCTGATATCACAGTGTGCTAGCAACACCTAATAGTCTTGAAGGACTAAAAGATTTATATATAACAAATTAATCGCCTGTTGACTGTTCTATGCAATACATTTTAATTTCTGGTATGCCGTTTATCAGTAATATTGCGGGTTATTAAAATCTGGGGTTTTACCTCATAAGTTCAGCAATTTCATCAACTTGGCGTTTATTATCCGGACCGAGCTGTATTATCCTTGTTAACGTCAGCCTTAATCTGACAAGTTACTAGTCACTCGGGCTGGAACTAGAATCTAATTTCATATATATATATATATATATATATATATATATATAATATATTATTTGCTAGATCCATTGTTTATTTCACTTTTCAGAAGAATAGTTTTTGAGATATAAAAAATAAGACTATCAAGTGTCAACTTTGTAGCAGAAATCTTTTTCAGACTAAATTTAGGTTAATGAGTTTTTTGATTTTTTATTACACCTTGAATCCACACAGTATTTTTGGTACAACTGTGGAATTTTCAGCATGTCATATTAGTAGCCCGAATTCAGTAGGCTGAACATTGATATCAGGTGTGCGTTGGCCGTGGATCGAACCCCAGAACATGTGGAAGATCGGCGGGCGTTCTAATCGCTGTGTCACGATGCACAAAACAGACTATTTACACATCTGATTCAGTTTATTAAGAATTCAGCATTTAACTGAATTAACACAATAGGGTTCGAAAGCATTCATGCTGTATAGCATTTGATTGGTCTTGTCTGGAGCACTCAGTATCCATACGATATCTCCAGACTATGTCATAGGTATGATTAGTTTAGTGGCACCGATTCAAACTTTAATAGGACGTATTATCTCTTCCACCGGGCAGCTATGGAACATCATTTATTGGAACTCACTTTTAAGTTAAATATATCTAGCGAGCACAAATGTTCAAATGTCTATGGAAATACATAAAAACGTAGTAATGTAGTCCGGCTGACGTTCATAATTTTGTCCCGCTATGCGTCGTTTTTGAGAAATACATGGTTGATTATTTCATATGAATTTCTTAAATAATATTCTGATACGTGAAGATACCTAAGAGGCCATCAGAAAAAACTTTTTCTGAGGAATAGCCACAGTGAGTCACCATACTCAAAGATGAAAAATAAATAGCAAGTCTAAAGTTTTTCTCCAGTAGATATTCGATAAGAAATTGAAATATATTTCAGGTTCATGCAGCTATAATACCAACAAATGAGAGATAGCACAAACTCTAATAAAATATTCTGTCAACTTGATAAAACAAGGTTTTACAATATACGCATATCTGTAAAATTTAATTACTAACCTGTTTTCTTATGAAATTGAATTTCAATTTTTAGTTCACCTTTATTTTTCAACGTATCCAAAATGGATTGTTTTGCATCTTCTTGTGTTTTTTCACCCCATAAAAAACTGCATGAACAACATTTTGACATTATCTGTGATCGGTTATATCCAGTCAATTCAACAAATCCATCGGAACAATAAACAATCGGATAATCATGTACTTGTGCATTACCAAGAACAAAATTACTGTCTGAAAAAAATAATACAAAAAATAAAATAAAAAATAAATGAACAAGTATTGATTTGCAGAAATAATGGTTAATTACAGGATTGATCACGGGCAGACATCAGTTAGAGAACCACTGGAAAACAAGCACAGAGTACTGCACAGTTGTTTCGTCCTAGTTGGGGACTCTTCATGGCATGCACCCATTGAGGTTCGAACTCAGGGCCTTCTGGTTACAAGGCGAGCTCCTAGGCCATTAAGCTACTGGGAGCCAACCCGACGGTGAACGAATTCTGATATCTGACAATTACCGATATATATTTAGCGCATTTGCCAGCCGGTGTCACTAACGAGTAACTGTCTACTTGCCTAGGGTACCTGCAGTTCTAGTGAGAAGTTGTAACCAGCAGGGTCCACGAAGTGGGGGAAGAGGACAGTCATTCACCCGTAACATTAGCTGGTGGTTGCACTTAATGTTTATTTTTTTCAACTCATGGAGAATTCCCATTGTAACATATAGAAAATCAAAACAAGTGATTCAGCGAAAGGAATCTTTTCAACGAATTTATCATCAAGCTGTACAATCACATATATACGGTTTTTATTAAGAAGTTATATCCGGTGAGAGAATTGAATCATAGGTGTGAATGCATAAAATAATAATAATAGTAGTAGTATGAAATGCAATTAAAACTAAAGCTTTTGTAATTATAATCCTATTGTTACTATCATTAGTCTCACTTTGAGGTGTCTCTGGTATTATTTCACTTCTCCCACTTGTGATTCTTTTTTACAACGTTAAATTCTATGCTATCAGATTTCACGCAATATTACGTAACGTTTTTATTTTATTCGTTTTGTCTACTAATCATATAATTACACACTCTTTTTTAAGTTCTATCCATCCTATGAATTATTCTATGTATGACATTTATTTGTGTTTTGCCACTTGACATTTAACTATGATTATAATCACTAACATTTTAGTTTTAATTGCATTTCATACTACTATTATTATTACTATTTCATACATTCACACCTATGATTCGATTCCCTCACCGGATATAACTTCTTAAAAGAAATATATATACGATTGTACAGCTTGATGATAAATTCGTTGAAAAGAGTCTTTTCGCTGAATCCCCAGTTGTTTTGATTTTCTTAATGTATATAACAAATGAATGAGTCAGGCTAATAGAAAAGAAAACAATTTGAAATTGTTTTTCAATGAGGTAATCATTTTAACATGAAAACAATATTCTCTCATGAAATGATTGATGAACTGTGAGGTCATGATACCAATGGAATTTGAAGCAAAATCTGTGCAGTTTTCCAGTCTTATTATTAAATGTGAAATTTGAATAATAATAATAATGATAAGAATGGTTTGGGATTATTGAATCGGATCAAATGACCTGAAATTGATACTGAGCAGTCAAATAGAACACCAACCTCATTGAAATAGAAGCTGGAAAGTAGGGCTTGTTAGAGATATGGATTAAGGACGTTTTAAAAATGAGGACAGATCAGTTTGTTAGTGTCATTGCAACTGTTAAGCATCATAAATTTACTCACAAATGTGGTTTTAATTACCATGACTGCTAGAATATGGGCAGAAAATGTTACTCATCAAATGTTACTGTGAAATATCAATAATTTTGTTCCTATATTGTTAGAAAGGTATTCATCCCTGAAGTTTGTATCCAAATAACTACTACACTATAATACGTTTGATGGGTGAATAAACTGATGGAATAAATTCTGGTCATATGTGTGATTGTGCGTAAAATCAGTGTATCGGAGAATCTTAGCTTTAATTTTTAGAAGACTGATCAAGTAGAGATTTACATACCTTTTCAATTAAGTTCTTATCGAATACTCTATTCCCATGAATATGTTTTTAAAACTGTATCATCGTTAGATACAAATTCAGTCAAGTATGCATACAGAAAGAAACTGAATCCATCTTATTTAGGCTAGATTCAATTGACAGAAAATATTATCAGATCAGATAAGTGCTTTCATTTTTAACATTGGAAGATGTTACTTTCGCCTGTTATATGGATTCTTTTGAAGACCTATCTTCTACTGTGGTATTGTTTCTAACGAGAAAATTAGTTTCACCCAATCATTCAGAAGTGTCACACCCGTACTTCTGACATTTTTAGGCCTTTTAAAATTGCTGTAGAATTTAAAAGAAATTATTTTAGTTTTAAACCTCATCCACTGCATGGTTAAGTTAGGAGGGTATAAGTTTGCTTGCAAAGTGTCGACTTACAGGGATTTGATTAGTTACAAGTTTAATCTTGAGCTAACATAAGTTATAGAACCTTTGAAAAGCCAGCTGTTGCGACCACTTGTTGAGTCCTTCAGCAGAATGCACTCATGACCCTACTAGGGACTGGACCAAGGATACAATGTGATCATGTCAGCCATTCACCCAGTGGAACGGAGTTCGATGTCGAACCGATTCTATCTCCTCCCACTTCCGGAGAAATATATATAGCCTGCTGGTATTTTTCCTCACATCACACTTGGTTTGCACCACTCGTAGTTACTTTTCGCCTGAACTTCAGGCAATTTCATCCTGTAGTAAGTCACTAGTATGCAGTGAATTAATTTTTAAATGTTGGTTTTTAAGTTTGGCCACGGACTGAATTCACTTTGAGAACCACTGAAATCCCAGAAGTACCGAACGACTGTTTCTTCCTTCTGTAGCCGCTGAATAAGTTATTAGGTACCGCTGAATTGGCCGAATGTTCAGCGTCGTCGCCAGGGCATGACCTCTGATGCGGTCATGGGTGTGTATTGCTGAAGAGATCTAATCAAGAATGAAAGAGGTGTCTTGAATGATTCTCTTATTATGGTCAAATTGTGATCAAACTTGAAATATGTTTTTAGAACTAATTTCTCAGAATACTTGCTAATTTGTTTAATTCAATTTTAGATTTTCCTATCGACGAGTCCTAAAATAGGTCGAAATGAGCATCTTGGATTCAACTGCACTACTCACTATCCACCAATCAAATTTTAGCTTGCTAATCTAGTTTACGCGCAGTTGGACTGAGTTTCTGTTTTTTCGAAGGATCAGTGACGCTATAAAAAGGAGTTAAATTAACACATATGCAGATTGGATATTCAATTTATCGAATAGAAAAGAAGCAGTTTCATTATTTGCTGTGTCTATTCCCTTGTAATTAAACAGAATCATGCTAATATTTTCAGACGTATTGTTAAATGCAAACTTCAAAAAACCTTTTGGTGTAGATTTATTCACCTTCTTTTTTTGTTTAATTTATGTCGAAAATGTCATGGTATTTATAATTTTTTTTAAAGATTAGCAGTTATCACTTTTCTTAGTGTTTTCTTCTGAAAGTGGAAAGTGAAGTGTGATTAGATCTCTTAGATAATGTATAATATTAGGGAAAAAAGAGATGGTTTCATGCAAATAGACTTTTTTCACACGTAGTCTTATTTCTAAATATTCACTAAAACAACTGAGGCTCATTCCTACTTCCCAGAGACTTTCAATCATGATTATGTCACAGTCACTCTGAAGGCAGTCTGAAGTATCTACATGAAAGGAGTTATAGAATGTAAAATAGACGTCTGAAACAATAAGATGATGTATCTGTTTTTCACTAGAAATCCATCATAGCAGTTTTAAAATTTATTCTCACCTAAAAGTGCAACTGTCAATTTTAGTAGCACGTTTTAGACACGTTTGCAAAAGTGAGATTACGCATTTTAAAACTTTAACGATAGCAGCTTTCTTTCAAATTAGTCTGTGAAACAAAATAGAACCTACGGAGGTGTGTACTGCTGAACGATGATATTATTTCGAAACTACTAACTTCAAACAGTAGTTCCTGTCATCCAGACCCTTCAGGACTATCAACAACGTATACATCAAGTATCGTAGGTGATCCGGATATAGATTAAAAATACTACCATTTGATATGAGGCATTTGCAAACTGATCATTTAGGTCAGTTTTACAGAAGACTTTGGAAGATCTGGACCTCACGAACCATTTATGTCTGAGCTCACATAAATTCAAAAACTTACAGGGAAAAAACAAAAAAGTTTACAAAAAAGGCTGGCAGAGAAGACAGGACTTCAGGTGGCCATAGAGAAGACATGGGTGACTAATACAACCAACCAACAAAGGAAGAAGTTTGAAAGAGATCAATTCAGTCACTTGTCTAAGCAGAATCATGTTAACCATGGGCCTCGTGGATGACGATACCTGGTCCAGGATCGCAAAGACAATCTAAGGCTGGTTTGAAATCTGCTGTACTCATTTAGCATAAAGAATAAGATTCGGATGTTTGACATTAACCTTAGGTCAGTAAGTTCTATATGGGTGAGGAACCAAGCGCGCCATGAAAAGCATTTCAAACAGCCAGCTAGAGATATTTATCAACAGCCGCTTTCGCTCCCTACTGACGATCAAATGGCTTGCCAGGAACAAAAAACTCTGTGAACAAACCATGCAAGAACCTACTGCTCACAAAAGAATATACAGAGGGAAATGGAGATGGATCGAACACACAGTGAGTAGACTATTGGATGATATTGCGTGACAGGCCGTTGTTCGAAATGAACCAAAATGGCTGTAGGTCTGAGTGTGACACGGAAGATATTGTGTGAAGAAGAGATGTTAACTGACGGTCAAGCTTGGAGGCAGCTTAAGACGACTATAGAGGACATAGGAAAGTGGAGGTGCTCTGCAGAAGCCTTACTTTTCACTTTGAAACTAAGAGAACATTAAGAGACGATGATTTTGTTTTGCTAAATTTCTTGATTTCCCTTTATGGTAGACCTGAATAATTGAGATCTTCGAATGAAATTATGGTGAATCCTCACCTATAACTCTGAGAATTTGGCGAAATATGAAAAGCATTGCTATGCGGAACAGTGTTGTGTTAAATACTTTTACTTTGAAGTGGTTTTTTAAGGTTAGTGATATGGCTGTGTTACAAGTTATAAATTAACTGATAAACCATTCCCTCCAAAGGTTAG